GCGCGTGACTTTTAAATTATTTCTTTTGAATTCTAACAGGTCAATTGTACTGGGAGGTTTTTTCCTCCCAAGTACAAATAATATTTCCAATTTTTGGATTGGGACTATTCTACAATGAAGTACTCTTGGATAATGTAATCTAAATACATATGAAAACGAAGAAGTGGCATTTATTGGGCAGAGAAGCGGCGAGCCATTAAAATGGCGGCAATTTGACGAGATATCGAAGGACACATTATCGAAGATAAAATACACTGCACTGTTTCAAAAGTGGATGGAACCTTCTTTGAAATCTTCTTCAGCCATTTATGATTATGTAAAAGTACAATAACTGGATGATATTTGCGTGATTCGGCGATAAAAAGCAAATAAGACGGCAAAATATGGCTGAAATCGCGTTTTCGTGGGGGGTAAGTGAAATAAAATTTATTATATTTAAAGAAAACAATGACAATCCTTATGAAATCAACAATATTTACATTAAATTAAGCATAGTTTTTAACCCCATGATAATTTTTTTAGGAAATAAGAATATTTAATTTCTGCCAGGCATATTAGTTATTTTATGCATAATCAGCAATTTACCTGGGGTGGTGCATGGTCATTTTCTTGTAAAATATTATACTTAGACAAATTTTTTCTTCCAATGACCACCCCTAAAAGCAACCCTTCTAAACACTATAAGCACTTCAGAAAGACTATCGCTTTTTGTTTTCTGAAGTTAGAGCTATGTCGACACTGCCGTTTCAGGGCGGGGTCAGTTTCAGGACTTTCGTCCCGGATTCAGCTTTTGGCACATATGCCATGTTGACCGCCATGGTCATTTTACCCTAAAACAGTTGAGATTACCTGTGCTAAATGAAATGCATACAAACTCATATACAGGTCCTAGACTATGTGCAATTTCTCGACCTAAAGATCAATACCTCGGACATAACTATTTTTCGTAAGATGACACATACCGGCCAATACACACACTTATCAAGTTTTACCCCATGGTCACGCAAAACAGCATGGATTAGAGCCTTGGTGAACCGCGCATATAAAATTTGCAGCAATCCACAGCTACTGCATACTGAACTCAAGGCCATCAAAGAATTTATGTCCTGGAACGGTTTCTCAAATAACCTTGCTAATAAGCTAATTAAATCCTTTACACCACGCACAGAAACACATAATAACACCACGCACGTCGACCAAGCAGATAGTACTACCCCAGACAACCTACCCAAGATATGGATAAGACTACCGTTCATTGGCAATTATGGCAACACCTTCACAAAGAAGTTTATGAGTAAAACACGCCGTTTGCTAAAGAGTCCGTGTAAGTAGTTTATATTTTCAACTGGCGAACCACGAACTCGAATTGTTTCATGCCCGGGCTGCCGAAGCGTTTATATTGGCAAAACGGACCGCTGTCTCTACACGCGTTTAAAAGAACATAGTACGCGCGAAAACTCAGAGATCAACGCCCACATCAACTCCTGTGAATATTTTCAATACATTAAAACTCTTATGGAACTCTCACCTGACGCATCTAACCCTATAAACACTAATATTACTCAATTAATTTTCAACAACTGTAAAATAATTGACAAGTCTGATCACTGGTCTCTGTTATTGTATAAAGAGTCTCTTGCTATACGGAGGCGAAACCCGGAACTAAACCATGGCGCTAAAGCATCTAAAGAATTGATCGTATTTCACTGACATTAAGCTCCGCTTTTCTTCTCTTTATATAGAGCTGTATTTGCAATCTTACACTAATCCTGAAGATGACTACAATCTAGTCGAAACGTAGATTCAATAAATCAAAACAAAATGTTATTCGGAGTTACTGTTCTTTTGTATTTTGTATCGTATGACGCTGCAAAGGGCAGAAATGGTTCGCAAGGTCAAATTGCACCTACACGCGTGAGTTTGACGTCATCCCGGCCACAGGAGCTTCTTATTGGCCAATTATTGCGCAATGTACTCGAGTGCGAGTAAAACCCAATGGTAAAACCCGACATCTTGAAAAATTCAAAATAAATATTTCTACTCGCCGTATTCAAACGAAATTTTGTACACGAAAGCGCTTGAATACAGGGTCGGATCCAGGACTTTTCGTACGTTAGTCAAAGTTTTCGGATGTACAATGTAGTTTTGCTAGCGGCGAATGCGCGAGGCACCAAGGGGGGGGGGGGTCTGTCCCCCAGGAAATTTTATATTTTTAAACCTCAGGAACGCAATTTGCATCACTCTGAAAGCAGCTTCAACAAAAAATTAACTTCATGAAATGGGAAATAATTATAGCAACTATCAGTCTGACTGACTCTCACAACTCGCTCCTTAGGGAAAAGTGAAGGAGAAATACTTGCAAAAATGTGATAATTGTGGAAGATGTTTCATTTTATCAAATCAAGGATTGCTAGTATTATGTTTAACCATCTCATGATAGTACTACACTCATTTTGTTGCCTAATAGCCTTGTTGAGTCATTGATCACTTGACTAGTAATCACTACAGTGTCATATTACTCAAATAAACATATATCAATATTAAAGTCTTAACATTCATGTATAAAACCTGACCCTATATATCCTATGTATACTGCATTAATGCATTTATATAGGTTATCCTCCATATTAATAGCCTTCTGAGTTCTGACGGTCCTTCAACCGCAGAATTAGAAATATGCAAATTTGTTGTGTAAATCAAAACTCATACTAGCTAAATCTAAATCAAGATACGCGTATTCAAGTTACAATTTAACATATGTATGGCTCGCATCTTGTTCGCTTATAAATATTGTTATGCTGTCTAAAACGAAATAAAATTTACATATCACATTAAATTTACCTTATTGCACTTCAGAATAAAGATCTCGGCGCCAATACTTCTACTCAAACAATCAAACTGTAGTTCGTGCTACTCATGGCGCCTAGCAACTGCTCACTGAATCGAACTCTCCGATATTTAGTGTCGATTTTCCTCCCAAGATCAGCGCAACAGTCTTGCATGACAGCTAAATCATTCACCGCAAATGCGGATTGAACGAATTCGCGAATACTACAAGGACTGGAGGAGTGGAGCAGCAGACATTTCCGAATTTTCCGTAGAGCTCCAACATGACACTTCGAATGAGCGCGCGCTCGGAAAGACTTTAGCACGCGTCAAATATTAATGATATTCCGACTAATGGAGTGCCCCTGACTTTTGTAAATCGGTCAGAACTCCCCACAGATCAGTCAAAATCGCAAAAAATCACTTGTTTCCATGGCAATAAGCGTCTAGACCAATCAGAACACTGGATTTTGACTTTTTGACTGACCGACTTTGCGTATGTCAGCTGCTCATTGACTTGACTAAGCTCGTCGGCTCAGAGTAGTAATATAGGGGCCGTTCGGGCCGGATTTTTGGGGCGGCGGCGCAGCATCATTAGCATACGTCATAATTACATGCAATGACGTCACGCGGGTAGGATCAGGCAAGTAATGACGTCACGCGGGCGAGCTTAAACACGATCGGGCGAAACTTGCTGACTACGCATTTTTTAGCATCCCCCACGTGTGCGACACAATAGTTAGGGCTATATACAAGAGAATATGTTGTTGTCTGGAGTTTTATAAGTACAGCTCTAGCATTTTGCTGTTATTGTCAAGTGATTCCTTTACTTTAGCTCCTAGAGGAGTAAAAAATCTGAGACTATATGAAATAGCATTAGTGTTATATATCCAAAACTTATATATTCGGGGTATACAGCTATGTGTTTTGTTGTTAAGTAATATATAAATATTATGAAGCGTCAAAACGGTGAGAAATAGCGTGTGGTAAGAGTTATTATGTATTTACAATTAAACTAATATTTAAATCCCGGTCTGCCATATGAGGTCTATATACGAGAGAATATGTTGCTGTTTAGAGTTATATAAACAAATGGAAATTAGAGGTTATGATATATAATTGTCAAGCGATTTCTATATTTTAGTGGTAGTTTTTTAAAGTACTAAAACTCGGATCGGATAAGGTTAATAAATTTAAGCTATATTAAAGCACACCGGTTGCTATGTGTTGTTAGGGTGACACTAATTAAAGGATTAACTTTTATCAGAGATTTGCATTTTTCTACTGTGTGGATAAATACGGGTAGATTAGGATATTCATTGCGCGGGCGTCGCGGGTTATCCGTGCGGGAAGAGAGAAAGCGATTTAGACAAGACAGGAGCGCTTTGCAGCCAAAAGTTTACACAAGAATTCAGTCTTAAAATACATTTATTTCTTCGAGACGTTTACAAAGTTAATGTGGTCTACTTCTTAGAGCATAATGTGTTTGATTTTATTTAAATTACGCAGAACAATTTAAATTTTTTTGTAATAAGAGTCGTTTGGTTTAATTATTCATTCGCCATGGTTTCTTTAACAAAGGTTCGGACCGTTGGCTCGTCTTCGTGCAGATTCACCCACTTCATACGACCCGATTGGTTCATTATTTTGACAGGCCAATAATTTTCTCCGCCGATGTAGACACCTGGATGGCTAGGATTAAAAATATTGCGCGATGACTTATACATCTCTGTGATAACATATCCTTCGGGAATGTTACGGACCACCTGTGCTTCCTTGGTGTAGTTTTGCCATTCGGAGATAGTTGCATCCGACCAGGTAATATGCCTCTGATGTTTAGGTTGTTTCCTTCTAGGTTTGGTTTCGACCGGTGTGGGCTCGATACTAGTACTGTTCACTTTAGTTTGGGTGGCGAAGAGATAAACACGGCAGTCGCCAAACAGGTCCCCAAGAACTTGCTTATCTGCTGGTGTATCAGGCTTGTTATCCACCAACAAGTATCCAAACGGTTTTTCAGTCTCTTTGTAATAGGCGTTCATAAAGTGGACTCTATTCTTATCAAACATTCGTTCTCCAACAATTCCAATTTGTTTCCTATCACTAGGACTTCGGAAGAGAGCAAGATATTGGGCATTTCGGCTAATATCTGTATTGAATTTCCCCTTAGGAAACATGTTCTGAAGCAAAAGGATAACACTAGCGTTTCTATGACGTCCCTGGGTAAATAATCGAGCTACCACAGGACTGTCTGTCGCTTCGGCCATCAAATCATCCAGTATGATTACGTTGTTGTACCGGGTATTAATCTCACTCAGATCCTCGGACAACTCGGGCAAACCTCTTTGAAATCGGATGCTTTTCCCAAGGGACTTTTTTAACTCATCGTAACGATCTTGCCATTGATTGTAGCACCAATGAATGCGAATACTTCTCTGCTCCTCGTACACGATACGATTGTTTTCCAATATTTGTTGGATGGCTCCTAACTCCTATACTCCTGGCCCTACATCGAACCTACATCGACCCTACATCGACCCCACATCGACCCCACATCGACCCTACATCGACCCTACATCGACCCTACATCGACCCTACATCGACCCTACATCGACCCCACATCGACCCCACATCGACCCTACATCGACCCTACATCGACCCTACATCGACCCTACGTCACACCCACATGTCGCCGTAAAAAATATATATATAAATGTTTTCAAACCATTTATTCTCGGTCATTTATGATTGAACTTTCAAAGTGTCAACATGCCCTATAAGCACAAAAGAGACTGTCCTCTCTGTAACAAGCCTTGCCTTCTATATATAAGTGATCATTTGCGCCAAGTACATAACTTATACGGAGATCAAAGGAAAAAGTGGTTAGGAAGGGCGAGGTTCTCAGCACCGCATAGCCACAACTCAAATTTGCTGCCCATACGACCGGCACATATACTAAAAGAAATGAAATGTGTTCGAAAGAAAACAAGGTCTGTACTAAAACCAACAAAAACCGTACCGAAAGTTACATCATCTTTGACCACCAAACCCTATCCAGAATTCAACTTCCGCCATAAATTTTCGCTAATGGTCGTGGGTCCGAGCCAAAGTGGGAAAACTTATTTTGTCCAACAAATATTGGAAAACAATCGTATCGTGTACGAGGAGCAGAGAAGTATTCGCATTCATTGGTGCTACAATCAATGGCAAGATCGTTACGATGAGTTAAAAAAGTCCCTTGGGAAAAGCATCCGATTTCAAAGAGGTTTGCCCGAGTTGTCCGAGGATCTGAGTGAGATTAATACCCGTTACAACAACGTAATCATACTGGATGATTTGATGGCCGAAGCGACAGACAGTCCTGTGGTAGCTCGATTATTTACCCAGGGACGTCATAGAAACGCTAGTGTTATCCTTTTGCTTCAGAATATGTTTCCTAAGGGGAAATTCAATACAGATATTAGCCGAAATGCCCAATATCTTGCTCTCTTCCGAAGTCCTAGTGATAGGAAACAAATTGGAATTGTTGGAGAACGAATGTTTGATAAGAATAGAGTCCACTTTATGAACGCCTATTACAAAGAGACTGAAAGACCGTTTGGATACTTGTTGGTGGATAACAAGCCTGATACACCAGCAGATAAGCAAGTTCTTGGGGACCTGTTTGGCGACTGCCGCGTTTATCTGAAACCAAACCTAGAAGGAAACAACCTAAACATCAGAGGCATATTACCTGGTCGGATGCAACTATCTCCGAATGGCAAAACTACACCAAGGAAGCACAGGTGGTCCGTAACATTCCCGAAGGATATGTTATCACAGAGATGTATAAGTCATCGCGCAATATTTTTAATCCTAGCCATCCAGGTGTCTACATCGGCGGAGAAAATTATTGGCCTGTCAAAATAATGAGCCAATCGGGTCGTATGAAGTGGGTGAATCTGCACGAAGACGAGCCAACGGTCCGAACCTTTGTTAAAGAAACCATGGCGAATGAATAATTAAACCAAACGACTCTTATTACAAAAAAAAATTTAAATTGTTCTGCGTAATTTAAATAAAATCAAACACATTATGCTCTAAGAAGTAGACCACATTAACTTTGTAAACATCTCGAAGAAATAAATATATTTTAAGACTGAATTCTTGTGTAAACTTTTTGCTGCAAAGCGCTCCTGTCTTGTCTAAATCGCTTCCTCTCTTCCCGCACGGATAACCCGCGACGCCCGCGCAATTAATATCCTAATCTACCCGTATTTATCCACACAGTAGAAAAATGCAAATATCTGATAAAAGTTAATCCTTTAATTAGTGTCACCCTAACAACGCATAGCAATCGGTGTGCTTTAATATAGCTTAAATTTATTAATCTTATCCGAGTTTTAGTACTTTAAAAAAAACTAGCAATAAAATATAGAAATCGCTTGACAATTATATATCATAACCTCTAATTTCCATGTGTTTATATAACCCTAGACAGCAACATATTCTCTCGTATATAGACCTCATATGGCAGACCGGGATTTAAATATTAGTTTAATTGTAGATACATAACTCTTTACTGCATGCTATTTCTCAGCGTTTTGACGCTTGATAATATTTATATATTACTTAACAACAAAACATATAGCTGTATACCCAGAATATATAAGTTTTAGATATATAACACTAATGCTATTTCTCAGCGTTTTGACAATAACAGCAAAATGCTAGAGCTGTACTTATAAAACTCCAGACAACAACATGTTCTCTTCTATATATACCTAACTATTGTATCACACACGTGAAGGGACGCTAAAAAATGCGTAGTCAGCAAGTTTCACACATCCTTGTTTAAACCTGCCCGCGTGACTTCATTGCATATAATTATGACGTATGCTAATGAGTGACGTCATTACGCATCCTCTCCACCACACTCCACCACACTCCACCACAAAAATCCGGGTCGAACGGCCCCTGTATTACTACTTACATATATATATATATACATATATATATATATATATATATATATATATATATATATATATATATATATATATATATATATATATATATATATATATATATATATATTGTTATATATTTTTTTATGTTTTTAATGGGTTCAAACAGACTGGGTAGATTATTTCTCGGTTAGAGCAGGATGAATATTCTTTATTGAAGGAAATAATATTGCTTTTTGCAAATACACATCACCGTATCAACGCTACTATTTTGTTACGTTTTATTCCAAAAATGTTGCATGTCTCTGGGGAGTTGCTTAATTGTTATGTCTTATGGAGTTGTATGGTTTGATTGTGTTTCATATATAATTCTCAGTTTACTCCATGAACTTGCCAAGATTAAGAAACGGCAAAAGAGTTTGGGTGTTCTTAACAAGATTTCAGAACGTTGCAGAAGTTAGAAGAGCTTCACAATTCCGTTGTGACAGCATGCCCTAATTCAGAACTACGAACGATCCAATGACGATCCTTCGCGATGCAGTGGTCTCATGAAATAAGGAAACGTATTCGTGCTAGGAACACACGCGAATTTCGTACGAATGAATCTTGCTTGTATTTTGTAGATATAATAATACTTTGTTTCATAATAAACAATTTGTCAAGTGTCATTTATTTACTGGTAATAGTGCATGTTTCAGTCGGGCAAATCTTGATTAATATTTGATACGCCGATTTTTGCATATTTCAGACACATCCAGAAATATCCTCCCGAATTTAAAGATTAATATCTCCGTGAATTTTTAAGTGAAATACAACTGTAAATATCAAAGTCTAAGTTAGTCCTTCCTCTATTTGATGCAAGTTATTTCTCTTTAAAAGCTATACATGTTTAGATGTTATTACGAATCAAACAGGAGTAGTTTTTTTTGGGCCACCCGGTATATATATATATATATATATATATATATATATATATATATATATATATATATATATATATATATATATATATATATATATATATATATATATATATATATATATATATATATATATATATATATATATTTATACCTTAAAATTAATTATTGCTACTCAAGTTTCACGCCTTATTCAAGACGATCTTCAGGCAATTAATTCAGTTTGTGTTTGATTTGTCAGCATCAACGGTCGGTCGCTGACGCGTAGGCTTGTCTTGCGTCATTGGTTTGAATTTGCACGCGCTAAATTTTTCCTTATGACAGCACTTCGCATAAAACTCTGATCGCGTGTTCAGTGAATTGTTCCCTTTCGCTTTCAGGATGCATAACTTCTCTTCCAAACAGAGGCCACATCGCTTTCCACCAGGCGTATACGCAGCAGCTCTTTTCAAGATGGACCACTTGATGCTATAATTTCTTCTACTTTGCTTCAGACTCCAAATATACTTGGAAAGCTTTGTATCAGACGAGGGGTTGTAGAGGTTGAATGACGTTTTGTGGTTCGCGTATCTTTCCTTGAATGGGTTGGCCGTCATTCCAATATATTCTTTTGT